TGTCGAGGATGAGAGCACACAATCCTAATCGTCCATATCCAAATCCATGTGTGTGAATCTCTATACACCCCCAACAACAGCACACGTCTTATTGGGGAAAGGCAGGGGTAGATTTGATTGCACGATGCAGACATGCAGCTGGTTTCGCTGTATATATTTGTACCTTGTCGCCACCGTTGATTGCGTAGCTAATCAGATCTTTCACGCGATTTCAAATTTTGGAGTATTTTGCCGCTCAAGTGATTTTAATGCTTACAAAACATATTAATATTATTAGTCTGAAATATCACGAAAGTATCTCATAATATCTCTCATTGAGAATGCATGTAAGCTTATTTTCGAAAATTATAAAGATTTACTCATGCGAGAAATATAAAGAGGATTCTTTAAAAAATGAGACTCTTAATAAACTCACTGTCATCTCATAGTTTAACGTTAATTTTCGTGCATCTTTGTAAAACTTTTGAGAGAATCCATCGGCATTTCTTTAAGGAGATTCGTTGTCCCAAGCAGCTGCAGCTAAGGAGATTCGCTTTCAATGTGATTTGTAAGGTGTTTTTGGGGGTTGAGTGGTGCTGCTTGGATCCCTCTCTGCCAAATCGACCGCTTGCAAGGGCTTTTGACACTACATTGGAGATTTGCGCAAGGCGCGGAGCAGCTCCCATGTTCATAATTTGGAAGATTAAGAGGTGGCTTGGAGTCGGTTCGGAACAAAAACTTAGAGCTGCTATAGAAGTTCATGCCTATGTAAAAGATATAATCAAGAGGAGGAAGAAAGAGCTTGAGAAGGACGGATAGTGGAGCTCACAAGGACATTCTATCTCGGCTAATAACGGCTGGGAACGAGGAGGTGGAAGCTTTATCATGGCGGGGCGGGACACAAACTTCAGCGGCAATGACATGGCTCTTCTGGCTGCTTTCCCACCAACCAGGTGTGGAGGAAAATGTGGTGAAAGAGATTGAATCCGCCGAAGAAAATATGTTCGATTTCGAGTTGTTGAAGGCACGCCTTTACGAGTCCATGAGGCTTTATTTGCTTGGGACTCGAAGCATGCCATCGTTGAGGGAAGCACTGTGGGGGAAGGACCGGTTGGAATTCAAGCCGCACCGGTCGTTTCTTGAACCGGACAAGAAGAGATCGGCTCTGGAAAAGGTATGTCAGTCCTTACAGATTGGTCACTCCCTCAAGTATATAAACCAGCCACAAAAAAACTATAGAAAGTAACTGAATGAATCGGGGTTTGCCTTCATCTGGGCTTTCAACGTGTGAAGTGATAAAATGCGTGTAGCGTGCCTTTGATGTTTAGACTTTGCGGGGTTTGCCTTCAACACTCAGATGTTGGTTGTCTCTGAGTTTCGTCCATGCGTTGTGGTGCATTGATCCTCGAATCTGGTTCGACTAATCATAAAGTTACTTAGTTTGAAGATAATCTTTGACACAGTCTCAATTTTAAGGTCTTATATTATCACATGTACGTACACATGATAGTGGGAAAGATAGACGACACAGCAACAGCTACGCAATGGCGGATTCATGATTTTAATTGTGAGAGTTCTAGTGTTACACACAAGTTTTTAAATAGGAACAGAGCGATAAATGTGGAAAAAAAAAATCAGTTTATTCACTTTGTAGGCTTGTTATGCACATGTCAACAGATACCGTTATATGATGAAGCAATCTGATAAGTGACATAGAGAGAACTTGTCAAGTGCTATTAACGCAACATGTCGAAATATATCCAACATGCACTACATCAGACAATTAAGAGGCACAAAAAGAACTCATACCAAATATTCGAAAGATCCTCAAAATCTTTAGATGTATATTTTTCAAACTCGGATGACCTATAACTACTTTGGTCCCTACTTCTATCCGCCCCTGCAGCCACGAGTGTGAACAAGCGTGGAATCTATCTTAATGATTGAAGATGAAGGGAGATTATCATGAGTTTATAACTAACCCTTTTGATTAATCAAATCATTAATCATTAATAATGCCCCTAGTGGTTCCTTTCTCCATCGAACCATCAAAACTCTAAATTTTCCAAGAGGTTCCAATCCCAGCGCACTTTCAGTTGTGTAGCCTGTCCTATTCTCTCTTTGTCAGCATTCTGCTTTTGTTCCTTCACTTTCTTCCGTGGCACGATCCACGAGGTCTGTCTGCCATATTAACAACCAGTAAAATTGCACATGCTTTGAAATGAACCAATTAATATATAAAATGCTTGAGCTATTTTGGACTTTAATGGATGGTGTCTCAAGGACATGGTTTGGCTATATCGTTATCGTGAATACTTGTTTTAATAATACAATGACATGTCTGCTTTACTCTATTTTAAAATGAGTGAACAACAACGAGATTTTGAATATTTTCTTGGATATAACATGAGATGTACCCCTCATTAGTATTCTCCTATTTCGTTTTGTCACGTGATAAGAGTGTATATCCTGGTTACACTCCAAATTTTACTCGATCATAAGCCTTAACTAGTCGCCATGTCGGGATGAAAGAAACACTAATGACGGGATATGTCATAGTGACTCCAGATTTTGCTCGAAAAACTTACGTGAAAAATGTCCACCATCATGATGTAATGTCCATAAATAATAATGCACTATCATGTGTAAGTATCCACAGATTGAATCAAAAAACTATGTGACGTCAACCCATTTTTTATTAGTGACTCACCATCCATAGACCGTATAGGCCATAGGTTACCAAAACTAGTATGCATATGTGCATACGAAGTGAAATTGCCAACAGGATCCTCTCTAGATCCCTTTAGTGAGGATCTGTAAATCGTATTGTTTGTCATGCATCGTGTGATCAATTTTTATCAGATATTATTTGTATTTAATTTTAAATAAAAATATTTGAAATAATTTATGACCCGTATAATATACGATGAACGAATATAATTCACGAATTCTCATAAAGAGAATCTGGATTCGTGAAATTGATCACGTTTGTGTAAGCATGGATAGGCAGCCAGAGCTCTTAAAAGTCTTGCCGGCTGCGAGAGAAACAAACAAATGGATTTCTGTACCTACTGTGTAGAGGATGAGAGCACATGATCCGAATCGTCCATGTCCGAATCCACGTGTGTGAATCTGCATACATACACCCCCAACAATAGCACACGTCTTATCGGGGAGGAGGGAGGTGTGGATTTGAGTGCGAGGTGCAGACATGCAGCTGGTTTCGCTGTATATATTTGTACTTTGTCGACAGCGTTAATTAAGTAGCTAATCAGATTTTTCAATGCACAAAAACGTGCACATATTTGGTGAACCGTCGAACACAAACGAAACGGATGCGATTATATTAGGAGAATATTTTCTCATCACTTTTAGAACGCGTTTACTAATCCGATTAAATTGAGAAGTAATTGGATAAGGAGGAATCAAAATCATACTCATGTTGAAGTTATTTACTAAAAATATCTGGAATAAGAGTAGGAATGATGTTGAGTCCATATAAGTTGTTTACTAATTCACTTCAATCAGAATTAAAACTAAGTTGATTACTAAATTGCCCTTACATAAATGAATTATTTTCATACTAATTAATTAAATTAAAATTTTAAATTAAATTTATAAAATAAATTCATCCATATAAAAATATATAAGTAGGTTTTATTTATTTATTTATTAAAAGATGGTTATTTCCATCCATCCCCCATATCTCCATCTTTCTCACGCCTCTATTTCATCCTAAAGGTCTAGTTGCACTGCCCTCCACCCACCACTGCCTTTCTCTATCTTCTACCCCTTACGCCTCCATAGCCACTGCCCCATAGCTAGGCCATTCATGGTCCAACGCGGAGCGGTCTCATTGCCATCTCAATCTTGGTCCACTAAGTCGGTTAAGAGTGCAACCATCGGATTCAGGTAAGAGTCTAGCGATTCGGTGAAATGAATGGAGATTAGGCAAGGTATGTGATGTAGCCCTGCACGGCGGAGGGTGTGGTGTTGACAGAGATGGAGAATGAGTTGCGCTGGATGAGTGTCAAATGAAGGGCAATGTTAGGATAATTAGAAATAGGTGAGGGCAAAATTGGTGGAAGAAATCCACTCCGGATTCCTCAAGTGTCCAGGAATTGAAATACCTCCATCATGTAGGGAGTCCAATTCCTCCAAAATAAGGAGCGGGATTTCCAAATTGGTGTGGACCCCACATACAATTTAATTCCCCAAAGTTAAGTAAACGAAGGAGTACTTCATAATCGGAATACAATTCCTTAAATTGATTCTGATTACTGACACGTAAACACGCCCTTAAGTGATTGTGATGGTTTACCATTAGTTAATTTGGGTAGTGTATAGACATTAATTTTAAATTTTAAACTTATTCAAAAACATTCTTTTTTACTTGGTATTACGTTTTAGTGGTATTCTTACGTCTTAAGTTCAATTCTCGTCAAAGATGAAGTTTAACCACATTATTAACGGTAAGTCCATTGTAAGGTTTAGCTGACTCCTCCACTCTCTTAGTATATATACTATCGTTTGTTCAAAAAAAAAAAAAAAAAACCTTATCAAGTGATAGTAATTATGGTGGTGAAACCACAACTTGAGGGTGGTAAACAAAAATACACCCTTATATCTTGACTTACATACACCTTTCGTATCACTTTTGTCGAATACGACTATATTATATATTTTATTTTTATAAACACATTATATTATTAGTTTGGGACTTCACATCAGCATCTCATGATATCTCTCATCAAGAATGCATGTAAGTCTTTTTTCAAGAATGCATAAAGAGTTACTCACGCAAGAAATGCTTAGTATATTCTTTTAAAAGTGAAACTCTTCATAAACTGTTTATCCTTTAAAAATTTAACGTTAATTTTCAAGCTAACGTGTCAAAAACATGAAGTCACTCAAAGCCTGTCAAATTCCCCAAAGCATTTCTCTACTCACGCTTACACACATGCACCGACGACTGTGCACTTTATTATTAATAATATGCATAAAAATTGAATATAAATATGTGCATTTCACACTGTAACGGAGGAAAACAAAATTAAACAATGATAATTAATAAATAATTAACTAATCAGACCCCTATAAAACATTGCGGTTGCTGAAAGCTGGTTTTTGCTCAGTCTGAGTTCATTGCGTTCATGTCTGAGATGGAAATATCCATGTCGCTCTTCACACATCCTACATTCATTGTTTTCTTAGCAATCATTCTCTATGTTTTGCATGTGCTTTTTTCGAGATTACGGCGAGTCTATGAATTTTCCTACCAAGGCCCGCCGAGGTATCCCGTCATCGGGTGCTTCATTTCCTTCTACAACAACCGCAACCGCCTCCTGGACTGGTACACCGACCTCCTTGCAAAATCAACCACCAACACCATCGTTGTGGACCGCTTCGGCGCACGGCGGACAGTAGTCACGGCCAACCCGGAAAATGTCGAGTACATGCTCAAAACCAACTTCAACAACTTCCCAAAAGGCAAACCCTTCACCGAAATTCTTGGGGACTTTTTGGGATGTGGTATATTCAATGTGGATGGCGAGGTTTGGCGCACCCAGCGCAAGTTAGCAAGTCATGAGTTCGGCACCAAGTTTCTGCGTGAATGCATGACGAAGACATTGGAGGAAGAAGTGGAAAAGAGTCTATTGCCACTGATGGAGTCGCTGGCGGAGACGGCGCAAGTGGTGGACTTGCAGGAGTTGCTAAGGAGATTCACTTTCAATGTGATTTGTAAGGTGTTTTTGGGAGTTGAGCGGTGCTGCTTGGATCCCTCTCTGCCACATCCGCCGCTTGCAAGGGCTTTTGACACGGCGTCGGAGATTTGCGCAAGGCGCGGAGCAGCTCCCATGTTCATAATTTGGAAGATTAAGAGGTGGCTTGGAGTCGGTTCGGAGCAAAAACTTAGAGCTGCGGTTGAAGAAGTTCATGCCTATGTAATGGATATAATCGAGAGGAGGAAGAGCGAGCTTGAAGCAGCTGAGACGGATAGTGGAGCTCGCAAAGACCTCCTAACGCGGCTAATAACGGCGGGGCACGAGGAGGAGGTGACGAGGGACATGGTGATAAGCTTTATCATGGCGGGGCGGGACACAACTTCAGCGGCAATGACATGGCTCTTCTGGTTGCTTTCCCGCCAACCAGGTGTGGAGGAAGATGTGGTGAAGGAGATTGGATCCGCCGGAGAAAAGATGTCGGATTTCGAGTTGTTGGAGTTGAGCTTGTTGAAGGCATGCCTTTACGAGTCCATGAGGCTTTATCCGCCTGTTGCTTGGGACTCGAAGCATGCCGTAGTTGACGACTCGTTGCCTGACGGGACTCGAGTTCGGGCCGGAGATAGAGTGACGTATTTTCCCTATGGGATGGGTAGAATGGAAGCACTGTGGGGGAAGGACCGGTTGGAATTCAAGCCGGACCGGTGGTTTCTTGAACCGGACAAGGAGAGATCAGCTCTGAAAAAGGTATGTCCCTACAGGTTGCCTATTTTCCAGGCAGGTCCAAGGGTTTGTTTGGGGAAGGACATGGCTTTTATTCAGATGAAATATGTGGTGGCTTCGATTCTCAGACGGTTCGAGATCCGACCGGTTGATTCCGGTGAGCCGGTTTTCGTGCCGCGGCTGACGGCTCACATGGCCGGCGGGTTGAAAGTTCTAATCCGCAAGAGAAGTGATGACCCAGATAAAACCTAGAATATATTCATTTAAATTAGTAGGAGTCAATGGTTTTTAATATTTAAGGTTTGTTGGACAGTGTAACATGCCATTATGCCTCAAATGTAGCACAAGGATATTATTTATGTACATAAAGCATATGTATAAACTCTATAATTTTACCATGCGAATTGTTATTGGTAGCCAGAATTTTCATTTCACACACCAAACTTTCTATATTTATAAAAAAATACATTTATGAGAAGTGCAAAATAAGATTTTTTGAGCGTTAATAGCAATTTCCTTTCACTAATCTTCCCTATTCAACAACAAACAGCAAACATTCTTTCACTAAGTAGGGGAGTTGTATGAATTCTAAACTGCCGCTGCGCTCGGTTTTGCACAAACTCTTCAATTAGCTCCATGTACTTCATATATTACTTTAGTCTCTTCCCAAGTCTTCCTCTACCCTTTTTTACCGTAAACCTCCATCCCTTAGTCGTATTTTCTAAGCAGAGTATCTGTAGGTCTTCGTCCACGTGTTCAAACCACCTTAACCAATTTTCTCTCATCTTATCTTCAATTGCGGTCGCTTCTACTTTACCATGGATATCCTCTCTCGTTCGTCCTTATAGGCTCTGTTTCTTGCATTTTCGTCATTGTTTGATTCTTTTAGTACGCAAAACTCCTAAGAAGATGAATTTTAGAAATGCTCACAAATGTGGGTGAAACTCAGTTGACGAATTGACCTAAAAGTGCAAACCAAAGCTACCAAGAAAAATCTACAAGCACGAAAACAACAATGCGAATAACCTAAGGAAACTTTTAAGTGCAAAAATCATGTGCTGTTCAAATAGAAAATAAGAATTAAAAAAGAAAAAGAAAAAGAGGATTAAGTAAGTTTATATAGAAAATTCAGGATAGAAATTCACATGTCAATCGAGCAGCTCATTAAAAAGGACAAGGATTGTCTACCCTCCTACTTCTGGTGCCCTCCTGTTTGTATGGTCACGATTAAGCCACGTCAATATTTTATATTACTATTCATTTTTATCTTATTATCTCTATAAAAAAAAACAATATAAAATATTGACATGTCTTAACCGTGACCACACAAAACAGGAGGGCACGGAAGGATACCGAAAGTGGGAGGGCAGACAATCCTTGTCCCATTAAAAAACAATAGTCGATCGAGCAAATAGCATGAAAACAATCAGCGACCACCGTACACGTGTCATTGATAGAATAGTATGTTGATGCTTTTGTTTTTTCCGTTGTGTTTTGTTTCAGAAAATATACAGACAGATTCTTACTGTGACAAGCTTCCAAATTGCTTGTTCCATTCCTCGTACGTACCGAGCTCGTTCAAGGAAACAGAAGGCCTCACTTCTTGCAATGCACTCTCAAAGTCCTGTGTCAAATAAACAAAAACTAGTTTTTAATTACTATAAAATGGCAACCCAAATCCAACAACGTCCAGGCGGGGGCGGGGGAAACTTCTATCGTATGCAGTTTTACCCTATGTAGGTAAAAAAATGTCAAGTAAAACAACAAATATACTGAGGTGTGAGGAGTTTGAAATTTTAACCTGAACAGTTACTGGACGCATATCCTCTTTTTTGAGCTTTGTTATTTCGATACCTTGTTTCAGAGCTTCCCTCAGTGGACCCATTGAGGCATCCTTCACCAAGTTTTTCATGTCCGATCCTGAGTAACCTGTGAAAGAAAACGAGAAGCTTCAGACAGTGGAAGTATGATAGAGAAGACGATGGATAAGGGTCTCGAATGTATGGAGTGGATACCTTGGGTTAAATTGCATATGCTATCAATGTCCTCCCTTGAAAGTTTGAACAGTCCATCCTTTTCTAAGAGATTCCGTATGATCCAGGCTCTCGCTTCTTCAAAACAATAATAGCTGGTTAACCAGGAATCGAGTATTAAGAATGTTAGTTAAATTAAACATGTTGTAACTTGTGACTTGTAAGTTGATACCTAATGAAGGGAGGGGAATGTAAAGCCTCTTGGTAAGTCGCCTCCGTGCTGCTTCATCAAGTTCTTGGGGTCGGTTCGTTGCTCCTAGAAGATTGTATCCAATTTGTGAAATTTTTGCCATTTAACTAGTGAAACTAAGGATCAAGTCTAAACTCAACGTGTTAAAACTCATTAACAGCATTCTAGTTAGAGATGATTGAGATTCAGGCGGTTCAACAATCACCTATAAGAAGAATTTGCTCACTCCCACTGTCAAAGCCTTCCATCTCAATAAGGAACTGCGTTTTGAGTCGTCTACTTGATTCGTGCTCACCTTCTGACTTACGCTGCAGTCAAACAAAAATTAGTATCAGCTGAGTACATCCAGAAAGAATGTACAGTGACTGATACGATAAGAGCTAGAATTGCTCATTCAGTATAGCAAAGTGCAACACCCTGAGAGAAATGTATGGCATACATAAAAACAGCTTATCATACCATTTCAAAGTTTAGTTACTAGAGAAAACCTTACCTGTGAGAGAAGTGAATCAATTTCATCAACAAAAATAACAGCTGGCTGGCGACAACTTGCGACTCCAAACAGTGCTCGCACTAGCTTTTCACCCTCGCCAATCTACAGTCACCAGTTAAATGGTTCAAATATAAGTACGTTTCAAGCATATATAACAAGAACAAGGGGTAAAAATCAGGGCAAGGAATTTAAACACTGATTTTCTGAAGAATGGGAAAATATGCAGGAATCAAAATTACTACGTATACTGATTATAATTATCTTTTATCATATATCCTAAAAGTTTCCACGTAAGTTGACATTTTAGAAAAGGCAGAAGAAAAAAGACATCAGAAAACATATGCCAGTGAACTATCACAGAACCTAAGCAAACAGAAATAACGCATTGCATACCCATTTGCTTGTTAATGAACTGGCAGATATGTAGAAAAAGGTTGCTTTTGCCTCTCCAGCTATGGCTTTCCCAATCATTGTTTTTCCTGTTCCCTAAACCAGGTAAAGGATTAAGATAGCTTATTGATCAGAAATGCTTTTACTCCCTCTACTTAAAAAGGATTCAACACTTACTGGTGGACCAAAGAGAAGAAGGCCTTTCCCAGGAGAACGACAGCCCTTAAAAATGTCAGGACGTAGTAGAGGCCATATGACCATCTCGGTTACACATTTTTTAGCATGCTCCAAACCAGCTAAAACATTGACATGCAACAGAAAAAAATCAGAACAGCTTCAGATATATTGCAGAAAACTGTACATGTAGCGAGTTTAAAGCATCACATATTACCTATATCATTCCATCGAACATTAGGATCCTTGTCCATAATCTCATTACTAACATGCTCAAGAAGACGAGGTTCCAAGTTCCTTAGTTTTTCTGGAAGCTCTCCATCAGGACCACAGAGCAGTTCCAAACTTGAATGAAAACATTGAAGACATTAGGACATGCATACATATTTCACACAATCTATAAAAGCTATACTGCTCACCATCTCTTAGTTGAGTCACCTAATGCATCGTCTGACTTTCCAGCGACTCGTGAAGTCACATTCCCAACGTTTCCCTCATTAGATTTAATAGGGGGGACAAAATTACCACGGGCTCCCCGATGTGAATAACCATATGATCTCATACCATAACCCCTATTAGTAGCATTGTTATCACTTTGAGGAGAGACACAAGAATTTGGTGATCTTGCTGGCGCTAACCCTCTTCTTTGCCTCACATCCATTTCCTAGACAACAAAGGAACAAACCCATCAACATTTCCACATGTGCAAAAAGTGTAAACAAAAGGAGGACGAACTTAAAAGAATGAAGATATGAGCTCCAGTAAGAGCAGGTTAAGTACAAAATTATTTACTACAGGTTACAAAACCTTATGGTAAAAAGCAGTAATAAGAGGAAGTGTTGTCAGAAATAAGATAGATACCAATTTGGCTTTGGCAGTAACAAAGCTATTTCCAGAACCATCAGCTTTAGCATCTTCGTTGGCTGATGGGGACTTAGCTATATCAATGATGGGGCTAGTAAATTCCTTGTGTGCACGTTTAGCCCTAAAGGTATTCCCATAAGCTCCTTCCTCTTCAACTTTTTGAAAAGAAGAGGCACTATGACCACCATTATGGTTGTGGAGAGTGTGAAGCTTTTCTACACCAACGCAGTCCTCAGAGCCGTTACTTCTAGAGGCCAAAGAACCCTTGGATTTTCCATTACTTTCCACCATCGAGTTCTGTTTATACAACGATGTCAACTTTGTTTGTGTCATAGGTTTTGAAAACTTGCTAGTCAACTTGTCCTGCCTCTCCAATTGATCTCCCTAGGGCAGACAGAATTTTCGGTAAGCACAACCAATCGTAATAATCACAAAGTTAAAGTTAAGGAAATGATTTCAACAAGCGAGATCAGAGGCAAACGATACCAAATCATTCACAGCCCTTCCGCTACTAGATTGCTGAAGAAGAGCCTGAAAGTACTTTGACTGCTTAATCTTCTCAATGTCAATATCTCCATTTGTGCCAAAAACACAGCCCGGCGCCTTCTTTGCTTGCTCAAAGACTTTGCTGTACAGCATACGACAAAAAATCTGAATCTAGTTGTGGAAAACAAAATTAGAGTTAATCTACACTAAGACCACTAACAAATTCAGTGCCGGTTTACCAGCACTCGAATAAATCGATCAAATTCAGATTTAGGGTTCATCAATTCAAACCGTACTTCGTATCTAGCAAAAATTACACATTCATTTGAGTAACAATTCAAAATTTAACTTCTCCAAAAATCTTCAAGAAATTCACTTAATGTTTAATTTCTAGCAATTTCACACGGTCTCGGCCAATAAAAAGTACAGTAATAGGAAATTGAAAACGCACACAAGAAATGCGAAGTGCTAGGGTTGTCAAAGCTTCGATTCAAATGAAAAATCAAGCTCAGACAGCGAAAGAGAGAGAGAGGAGTACCGATCGGAAAGAGGAATGAGCTCGCGGCGGGCGGCGTGGAGTTTGGCTTCGGTTTCTCGACGAATGGGGCGGATGAAGGCGTGGTCGAGCGAAGACTGAGATTGGGAGTCGAGGAAGCCAAGGAGACGAAGGCCGAGAATCTGAGCGGAGGAGAAGTCGTGCCTCTCGAGGGCGAGCTCGGCTCCGAAGGAAAGAGAATGGAGCCTGTTTAGGTTGTCGTCCACTTTCTTTCTCCAGCAGACCTCTTCGCCGCCGGCGCCGGTCGCTCCTCGCCGCCCCTTCACTTCCTCCTTTCCCGCCATTTTCCCTTTTCCTTTTACTTTGCTCAACTGTGACTGAGTGACAATGATTTTTAGCGCAGGAATCGATAGAGCTGCAAGGTCAAAGATGCCCTTACTTATTATGTCATCGAGAGGGTAGAAATGACTTTTTCTATTTTTCGAATTCGCAAAATTTTCCCTGGCATGCTGTCGTCGTATGTGAGAGATGTAAACAAATCGGATCAGAATTTATGACTGAGGTATTTGCCAATTTCTTGAATGTATAAAATAACTAAAAACGTTTTTGATAGTGTTTGGTAAAAAAAGTTCAAAAATATTTTTGGATTGAAAAAATATTTAGACTACGGCTACTAAATTTCAATTCTCAAAGAAATAATATGAAAAATTAAAAACGCACACACACACAAGAAACGCTAAGTGCTAGGGTCTGCAAGTTTTGTTTCAAAGGAAAAATGAAAGGAGAAAGGCAGAACAGTCAGAATTCCGAATGTGGGCGCACTGAGAGGCGTCGAGTATGGACATGGTATCACGGCGAATGGAACGGATGACGGCATGGTCAAGCGGAGAGTGAAAGTGGGAGTCAAGAAATCCGAGATGAAACTCCGAGGATTTGAACGGCGGAGAAGTGGTGGATCAGGAATTTGTCGATTTGAACCCAAGGATTGGGGTTGAGTTGGTGAATGCGGCGGTGGTGTTAGCGACCTAGATCAAGGCGTGACAGTCAGCACGCCTCGATCTAGGTCCAGGTGATGAAGCCAACACAGCTCGATTCGGAGTCCTAGTGGACTTTTCGGGTCGAGGTGTGTTAGTCTTCTAGGTCGGTCTGAGCAAGCGCATTGAAATGGAATCACACAGATAATTCACAAAACTCCAGCACAGATGATAAATATAACCGTCAACATGCTTGTACATTAACCATAAATCAGCTAGTTCAGCAGCACAAGTACATGGTAAAATTTAATGGTTACAAACAGAACAGGATCTATATTTTTTTCCTTGGTTCAATAATCTGCGAGCAACGTACGTCCTCCCTCCTCGTCCTACACTAGAAAAGGCAATCCTATATCCTCCTCCTACAACCTCTCCTACATCTGCTTAAGAATACAAAGGTGGCTGGTAGTGGCACCGCCGGCAAGAGCTCAATATTCCCCTCATATCATATGCTTCCAGGAGCGGCATCACTTCCTGCACCTGGCTTACGATTCAGATACCGGATAACAGCATCTTCAACCCTGTTGCAATCACCAACCACAAGATTCAATAAGTAGTTCTTCATCATCCTAAACCCTATATGTAACTAAATGTTGACGCGAATCAACTAATGCATCATTTAACCAAAATGAAATTCCATCTGGAACAATCAAACAGTGGATATTGAAACAGTAAGTAAATAATGATCAGCAGACATTATTCATCTGGATGAATGTGTGCACCTAAAAATAGCGACAACAAAGCTGTGAAGTGCAGGTAAAAGTGGAAAAATCAATTACGCTAAGTGATGTGCTTACCATGGCTGGTGGAAGAAATCTGATCGCCTCTGTTTTTCAGCACTACGGCTTGCTACTCCAGCTACAAGTTTTAAATCTTTGTTTTGGGATTCAATCAGTGCATTGATAAATTCTACAGGAGATTGACTAAACCCAAGGAAAAAAGCTCGCCTGCGACGATGCTCATGGATTTTTCTGATAGCTGCACATATTGCTTCATCACAGGTATCAATCTCTTTGTTCTTCTCGGAGTTGGCCAAAAGAGAAGACAGTTCCCTTTGGATTGGGAAAGGAACATCAACCAGCACATCATAACATGCAGTTCCAGCTGGACTATTTCCTGAAAGCTTTATCTTATGCTCCAAATGTATAGGTTGCGGGGGGAACAAATGCTGAGATATCTTCTGCGATACCATGGTGAATTTCATCTTTTCTTCCCCAAATACTTTCTGAAGTGGTGGATCACAGTTAAAGAAAGAGGGGTCATGCTGGTTCTGCAATTTCCTAGCTTTCACATAGTGCCAGATTGAAGCTATTATCCTGGGGCGGGTTTCAACCTCAATACCAAGAACTTCCATCAATGGTTGAGAAAGCTTATACTTCTCAGGTGCATAATTCATTTCCAACCGTATGTTCACAGTAAATTCTTTGTCCCCTTTTCTCTTCACCTCAAAGCCCTCATGAGGTGCCGGCGATCTAGCATTTTCCCACAAAATGATATGATTCTCAGGATATAGTCTCTGATCCAAAGAAATTGTTACTCTCTTGAAGAAAGATGAGAACTTTGGATAAAAGGGATTTGATTTCTGGACCATTCCAGGCTGGTCAGGATCAACCCCATCTTCCAAGATCCTCCCAACTATTTTAAGTGTCCAAGTAGGGGGATCAGCATTTGGCTTCTGTGGAATTGAGCGAACCTGATTAGCAAAAGTGTTAAAAACATAAATCCGCAGCGTTTTCTGAATGCAAGGCGGGCTTTTAAGGGCCTCTTGGATGTCAACTTTCTTTCTTGCAAGGGCAGAATCAACACGAGCCTCAAACTCGAGAAGCTGGGTGTAGAGAGCAGATTCAGGCAGAATGGTGGCTACTTTGTCTTGTAGCTGTTTATCGGGAAGCTTCTGCTTCTTTTTACGAGCAGCAGGGTTGAGTTCCATGGTTCTCAGAGGTGACATCGTGTGCATAGGAGAAGCACCAGAAGGGCGCACTGGTGGTTTTTGGGGGTAGCGCTTGGCACTTGCATTCCCAGGTGTGGAAAAGGAAGGTGAAGATGACCCCAAATTCGCCATGCCAACTGATTGGTTCTGGTTAAGGGCCATCGCCTGAGCTTGCAACTGAGCTTGGAATTGGGCATGAGCCACTTGTGCATGAGCTTTTGACTGAGCATGGGCAATAGCCTGGGCTTGGGAGAGCTGAAACTGACCTTGGTAACCAGCCCCAATCTGTGTTTGGGCTTGCGATTGTTGAAATGTAGGGTTTGCAGACATAGATTGCCCTACCATACCGACATTGCCAAAGGGCGACGAAGGGGCTCCAAGACTCTTAGGTGGGTTATTATTGTTCATAGACATAGCTGACTCTAACCAGATAAAGATAAAAAAACCAGCAAAAATATTACTTCCCCAGACGCCTAACCTTAACAATCCGTCCCAACATAAAAAACCCACAAAGAAAACGATGAATGCATACGCATTTACACCAAGATCTTAAAACCCAGCAAAAGAAAATGCGCGAAACAGAAACCGAAACCGAAAGCCGCTCAAATTCGAACCTTCTAGAACCATTTCCGAGCAACACACCAAAAGATAGATGACCCAAATCCACGAAATGCACAAATTTCGCAGGAGGCAAACTTTTGGTTTCACAAAACCCTAATTCAAGAAACGGCAATCAGACCCAAAAGTTGACATATGGTACAAAATCCACAACCAAAGGAGCAAATATCAAATAAAAGATACAGAATTTGACATAAACAGATCAAGACGACAGCAATTTGGAGACTCTGAAAGAGAATTGGCAGTTGAGAATAGTGTGAAATTCAGGAGGAGATCAAGAGAGACCTAAGGAAACGAAGGGATTGAGAAGCACTTACAGAGAAGCAGAAGCAGAAGCAGTCCCGAGCTTTTATAGTAGAGCAAAAGCTGGTTTGCTTTCCTCCACCTGACAACGATGACACCTGACGAGTGTGAACTGCTGCAGCAACACTGACGCTATGCGCTTTTGATTGATTTCGCTCTTTTTCCTTCTACTTTCCCTTCGGCACGCTGTTACCGAAAAATAGTTTTTTCTTCTTTTGCATAATTGCACTTTGCACCACTCTATGATTAGTATTTTACACTGTACTACTCTTCAGTTACGATTTCTTACACTTTACTACATAATCTACTCATTTACAAACGATATTACTACTCTAAACTAAACTAGCAGAAGAAAAAAAAGAATTAAAACTCAGAACAAAATTATTTGAAAATAAAACCAAAATTGGAACGAAGTGGATTGAAGACAATGAACCACTATGTTTTACTCTTCTTTTCAAGTTGAACTAATGACGCGTTTACATAATCGTAATGAAATTATGAGGAATTGAACTGAGGAAGAGTTGGAAAAAGAAGAAGTTAGAATCAGATTCCTGTTGAAACTGTTTATTTAAATGTTATGGAATTATAATATAAATATTAAATAGTGGGTTTGTTGTGTGCTTACTATACTACCCTTATTCCAAAATCCTAAAGCAGTGGGTTTGTTGTGTGCAAACTTGAAATTTAAAAAGTCTTAAGAGGGCATAATAGGTAGAAAAAATGAATTCCCATTCCCTTCCTCTTCCGAAACTCAAATACCACACACATCTAAGGAGTTCGATTCCTCCATTTTAGGGAATTCGATTCTAGATTTTATGTGGGCCCCACTTACTTTTTCATTCCTTATATGTTAGTAAACGCTGGAATGCTTCAGAAGTAATGCGATTCCGTTTCTTTCCATTCCATTCCATTCCCGTTTGGTAAACACTCCATAAAGGTGAGCAAATAGATATAGATGGTCAAAGTTTTCATTTCACTTTACTGGAATTGGATCCCCTCCTGAGCAAATGGTGGGGATCCTCATGACTATGCAACACGAGCCGTTGGATTTTGATCCAATGGTTACAATTATTATAACTTTTAGAATAACCCTTCTGTTTGTAACCTTTGAATCAAAATTTAATGACCCGTGTTATGTGGTCATGAGGATTCCCACCATTTACTCAAGGGATCCCCATTCCCACTATACTAGATGTAACTTTTATCAGTTATGTTAATAATTTTTTTTTGTATGATCGAAGTTGAAAAAAAACAAAAATTTGAAAAGGACATAGATGGGACTTAGCCCAACATCCCAAAAGCCCAGCCCACGCGTTTTAACTAGTTTGCGCTTTATAGTGCTAAAACCCTAATGTTTCTTCCATTTTCGCCCCAATTCACCTCTGACCGCCCAGACTCCTCCTTCCGCCGCCGATCAACAGCGATGGTAGATCTCTCTCAGAAATACTCGTTTTTGTTGTAAAAATGCGTCTTTGTTAATGAATTCTGATCAATTTTCAAACTTGATTTGC